CGTTTTAAATAAATATATATATATATTTTTTAATTTTTATTCACTGCTTTTCGCTTTCTTTCCTTCACTTTCACTGACTAGAATTTCCTTGGTAAAATATCTATCCAAAGAGGTTTGGCTTTGCCTACTTTTTAAAATGTTTCTAAAATGACTTAGGCAAATGTCATTACTCTGAGCAGCAATACAGCCAGTGTGAACCTTTTTTGGATGTTTCTTTTCAATAAAATCAGTCACTTTCTGATGATACCTCAAGATTTCCTTTATCAAACAAGATCCTTCCACGAGGAAGCAAACATGCAGACTGAGACCAATGAACAGAAGTGAATAAAATATGGCGCTGTGAACTAATGTAATGTCGTATGGTGAGTTTTTGTTCATACCATGCAGCAAAAATATGTTCGAATTTCATGTCATATGCAAGTTTTTTGAATTAGCTGCCAGTTTGATAAAACTGGGTACATATTTTAAAATTAAAATTAAATACTTTGTTTCCTACAGAAAATAAACCAGTAAATAAATCGCCTGAATCTGTTTCCCCTACAAAAGAGCTTTCTCCTACAGCATCTGTATCATCAATTAGTAAACCTGAGCCAGTTAATAATAGTTCCAATATTGCTGTTGCATCTGAATCAGTAACCAGTATTAATGACCTAAGGAAAGAAATTCAAACATTGAAAGAGAATACAGTCAGTAAAGAAGAGTTTGCTGAATTACAAAAACAGGTTAGATAATTGTATTTTACCTGGATTCAGGCTTTGGTTTACTGTTTTTAATTTCATTTTCAAGAAAGTTCTGGAATGAAAGAATTGGTCCTAAGAGGACTCAAACCTGCAATTTCTGCATACTGTACAGCTGTGATCTCCAAACTGTTTTGATTGTGTATCCCTAAGACGAAAATAATGATAAGTTGTACCTCCCTAAAATATATATGTTAGGCTCAAAGACTGAAATTGCTCATTGAGCAAAAAAAGCGACCATGAAGTGAAATTCACGTCGTGGCAGTTGTAAAAACAGCCATAATGTGTTGTGGCTACTCAAAACAACCACAAAGCGAAATTCGAGTTGTGGCTTTCTATTTGACCACTATGCGTTGTGGTGATTAAGAAAAGCCATAACACATTCTGAACATTAGCCAATGCAACCACAATACAGGATCATACAATGCACAGTGGTTTGTAATTTTAAAATATGGATTCTAGGCTCGAAACATTTTTATTTATTGGGTTGTTCGGAAAGTAATTTTGTCTTTTTTTACCGCTAGACGGATTAGTCATATTTTTCCCGTCATTTTCATTCTAAACTGTATTATCATTATATATTTTGACAGCTAGCATTTTAAGGCTTATTTGTAAAAAATTTTGCTTGATTTTGTGCAATTGTTTATTTTTTGTGCCCCATCAAATTTGGAAGATCGAAAGCAGCATTTTTGGCATATTTTGCTCTTTTATTACTGAAAAGGTAAGAATGCTATTCAAGTAAGAAAAAAATTGTGTGACATGTATGGAGATGTATTGACAGAACGACAGTGCCAAAACTGGTTTACAAAATTTCGTTCTGGCAATTTCAAAATTGAAGATGCACCACATTCTGGATGGCCAAACAAAATAAAGGTAGCGATTGAAGCAAACTGCCGAATAACAACACGTGAAATTACTAAGAGATTAAATTTGTCAAATTGAACTGTTTATGGTTACTTGAAACAAAATGGTTTCATTTCAAAGCTTGATATATGGGTTCCACGTGTTCTTAGAGATGCTGTTTGGTGGGATTTTAAGGAAATTTTTTTTTCAGCTTTTACCAGACAATTTAACAATTGATTCAAAAGTGTACTGCCATTGAGTAAACAAATTGAGTAATATCATCAAACAGAAAAGGCAGCCAGAATTGATCAACAAAATAGGTGTAGTGTTTTACCATGATAATGTCAAATTTCACACAAGTTTCGTAATTCCTCAGAAACATAACTTAGATGGGACGTGCTATCACACCAACCATATTCGCCAGATCGAGCACACTCAGATTATTACTTGTTCTGGTCTATACAAATTTTTTTTAACTAAGATATTTACTTGAAATGACAATGTCAAAAATCACTTGGATTAGTTTTTTGTAAGCAACGATCAAAACTTTTATGAATGTGAAATCATGCTACTGCCAGAAATGATTGACAACAGGTATTTGACCAAAATGGTCAATATATAATTCAATAAAATATTTATTATAAAAATAGTTTTTTTTTCCACGGAAAAAAACAAAATTACTTTCCCAACAACCCAATACAATTTTTAATGCTGAACAACATTAGTTCTACAAGTTTTCCTAGAAATTTAATTTTCATACTTAAAAAAATTTTAAAGAAATAAAATATATGGAGAAAAGTACACATTTGTTTCTTTTGTTTTGCTAAAAAGTGCTAAAGATCTAATTATATATACTTGTAGTTGCTTGATATACTATACACAATAAAATAAAAATTAGTTGCTAAAGTTAAAAACCACTGTGTGACAGATTTATTATGGTTAAAAGCCACCACATGTTCTGGATGTTAACTAATAATGAGTGATGATAAGAAAATAAAACTTTTTTTTTTTTCATTATGATTTATTTATCTTCTATCATCTTATATATGCAGGTAACAAAATTATTTTCCATATACAGAAATTTAACATGGTTACTTTACAACAACATTTAATTATTAATGCATTTTATGTTCTTTGAGCGACATTTGCATTTTAATCAATACAGTATCTTTTACAGTGACACATTACCCTTGCTTACTTCCAGATGTTAACAAGAATGCTGAGTGAAGTGTTAATAAAGTTGAGGGTGCGTTCTGAATGTTAATAAAGTTACTGTAGAAATTGTAAATTCATTATGAGCATAAAGTCGATCAAGAAGACATTCCTTGTTTTCTAACTGATAGAGACCTGATGGATTAATGCTCATAACAACAGCTAAAACATTTCTGGTAGCTGCACGTCCCCTATCAACATTAGGCACCCTAACTAAAACAATCGAACCAATTTCAACTGCAGAAAATTACCCTAAATTGAGAAAACTCTCTGAGCTTGAGCTCAAGCTCAAAAAAAAAAAATAAGATGAACGATTCTATGATGCAGATCCCTGTACTATTATTGTGAAATAATAATCAGAACAATTCTTAATGTTTTTGAAAATTTTAATAACTAAAATGTCTTAGGATTTTTAGACTTTATCAGAGGTATTAATTTACCTCTGATATGAAGAGTGCCAATGGGTCAATGGCATGAAGGTTGAGAAAAGCAAAAGCCTACTTGGGTGTAATATACAGTAATACTGCGGTTTTCGTTGACTTCGGTTTCGGATTTCGCCGATTGTTTTCAGACAGATTGTCGACAAAAACCAAAGTATCACTGTACAGTGTACACCCATGTACCTAGCATCAATCTGCATTATTTCTTTAGCTTCTGTTTTCATATCCTAAAACCCTCCAGTTATAGGAAAAAACAATGGTTTTAGGCTAAAACTTTTTCCAGCGAAATTTGTGGAGTGATGAGTAATAGCATCAGAACACAGGATAGTTTTACCCTAGATTTACCCTAAATATAAGACTACCCGAAACATTACTCTGAGAGGTTGAAATTATTCTAGAAAAGGGTAATTAACCTAGAAATGGCAGCACTGGTCAAGAATGAACACAATACAAACTCCGCAAGTGTTTGCAGTGTTTGCAATGAGCCCATTGACAAGTTACAATCTTTCCTTTATATCATGGTTGCATCAGCTAACATTCAGAACGTGTTATGTCTTTTCTTAATTACTACAATGCATAGTGGTCAAATATTGTGATTGTTTTTTTCGCTCAATGAGCAATTTTCAGTCTTTGAGCCTAACATGTATATATAATGTGTGTGTAGGTGCAGTCAAAAATCAAATTATTTATTATTTATTTATTTTAAACAATATACATTTAAATTAAATTACAAACTTACATTTTGGTACACAAAGTGATACTTGGCATACCCAACTTTGGAGACCACTTCTGTACAGAACCATTCTTCCAGAACTTAGTAAATTAAAAATTAATTTATAATTATTAAATTCATTTTTAGTTCATTTTAGGATTTCCTGTTTTCTTCACTCTATCCTAAAAAACTAAAAAACTTTTTAATTTTGTATATTTATTAATTTAGTTGTAAATTGAAAATTCATAGAATTTTAAAACAATTGATTATTGAGTAAAATTCCATAGATTACATTAAGATTTGTTGATGATCATAGATATACTTCAGATGTATAAATGTCTTAAAGTCTGATGATTTTATTAAGCCGACTAAACTGGGCTACATTACTGTTATTAATTATTATTAAGTACAAAATAATTTATTATTAGTAGCCATAAAAACTGAAATAATTAGATGGACCCTTTTTTCTTGCCAATTTTTAATGTTTATTCTAATTAGTCCCTTTTTTAATATATTACATAAACTTTGAATTCAGTACACAATTCAAACACCATCACCATCTATCAGACTATCAAATTTTGCATGTATTGGTAAATATATAAATAAAATGCATATTATTTTGAAAATAATTGCTATCAATTTATTTCAGTATTAGCTAGAATAATACCATTTCTAACTATTAATTATATCATATTTCTTTGATTTGTATTTAAGTCGGGTGTCAAACCCATGGCCCAATAAATATGTAAACAAAACAGACAAATTTTTTTATTATTTATTTCAACAGCATAAACCTCAAAAAAGAAGTTTTACAAAGCCGTAAACCTTTATACATATTTTATTTTTTAATAGAAAGGAAATATTTTCAAATACTTGTAATGTATGAATGAGGAAGGAATATTAAATAAAGCTGGAATCGTGACTCAAAGGATTATAGCCCCAAATTCAGGGAAAGGAGAGAAAGGCCAAAAGATAAAAAGAAATGAGAAAGGTTGGAAAATTAAGGATCAATATTTGCATAACAGAAGGTCTATTTAACCTTTCTCACTTCTTTATTTTTTTGACCTTTCTCTCCTTTCCCCAAATTTGGGTCTATAATCCTTTGAATCACAACTCTAGCTTTATTTAATATTCCTTTCAGCATTGCAAGATTTGGCTACCCTTTTTTTTAGTTTGGCATAAAAAATATCATTTGGTGCATTGGCTACATTTTGGGCTACATATTATTTATAAATATATTAGTTGAATAAAAATGCACTTTAAAATAATGTTTCGTTGTTTTTTTATTAATTAAAGAGCCAAATAAAACAAATATTTGTGTTTGTCTCCTTTATAATAAATAAATTTATCTATTATTTCTAAGTAGAAATTAAAAGTGTCTGTAGAAGTAATTTTTTTAAATATCCTTTTTTGTGATAAAGTTTTAATACTTATTACTATAATCTAGACATGTAAATCCTTAAATATACTTGTATATTTAAGGGCTGGGCCACAAGTATATTGTGGCCCAGAACTCCATGACTTCTTCCAATGTAGCCCAGAGAAACAAAAAGGTGGACACCTCTGATTTAGATAAAATGTACTTACACTCGACCCCCTATAACACTGTTGATTATTCTGTTTTATATGAATTCCATGTTGTACGAATAACTTAGATTTTATAAATATGTGTGCTGGGCTGTGAATGGCTCATGTATTTGTAAAATCTAAGTGACTCGTACAACATGGAATTCATATAAAACAGAATAATCAACAGTGTTATAGTGGGGTCGACTGTATTTCTGCATTTTTATTTTGTAATCATAAATGCACTTCTGAGGTTTTTTCTGAGTGTGGCTAAGTTTTTGAATATTTCTTTCCAAAAGAACTTTGAAAATTATTGACAAAGCATTTCAGTAATCTTAATTTAAATACATTATTATTATTATTATTTATTAGCACAATGTGCAGCCTGGCTCTACGTAAGCATTACCAAGGAATTTAAATACGGTAAGACCCTGTTTAATGCTGATTTGATATAATGCGGTTTGCTCGAAGCCTTAAAAAAAGTCCAAAATTTATGCTGATTTAAATTATTGTGGAATTTCATTGATTTGTATATAATACGATTATTTATGAACAAGAACCAATCAGAAAAAGGTGGCAAAAAGGTGTACTTTCTTTAAATCTATGTTTGGTGCAATTTTGGAAAAAATATAACATCATGGATGCCATAGGCAATATCAGCTTCACTTGGCAAGACTTGACCAATAAATGCACGAACAAAGTGTGGAAGAAGTTATGGCTAAAGGTATCCAAGAATTCTCAATGAGAAGAGTCTATCGCTGTATCGATTAGGTTGACTAAATTGTCAACCTAATCGATACAGCAGAACTAGGAGATGTAGACGAGGATATTGAGGAGTTACCGCAGGTTTCTGGTGAGAGTCTTCCAACAACGACCTTCAAGAACTGGCAGAACAAAGAATTCATGTAGAACTGGAAAATAGAGATTCTGAAAACAAAGAACCCAAAAAATTTCTCTACAAATTTCCTTAGTAAAAATTTGGTAATGATAACTGAAATCATTGATCAAATTGTAGTGAATGATCCAGATTTTGAAAGGAATGCAAAAGCAAAACAAGGCATTTTGGATGTGATCTTCTTCTACCAACATTTGCATTAAGGAAAGAAAAAAAGCAACAAATGAAACTTCATGATTTTATCACAAAAGAACAAGAATTTCAGAAAAGTCAGGAACTTCATTACAAAAAATGAACTTTACATTTCTGTGTGCATATGTTTGTGTGTTATTTAACATATATAATTATGCAAATCAATATGTTACCGCTAAAGCTCGAAATCCGTTAATGTGTACATTATCTAGCTAATCTGCAGATTAACTAGGGTGATCTGTTAAAGCTGCGAAAATTGTTCAATTTCTCAAATTACCTAGGTAATTTGCAGAGTATCTAGGTAATCTGCACATTAACGGTTTCCGTATCGTTAAAGTTCAAAAGTTTGTTTCTTTCACTTCCTTTTCCCACTCCTTCTTTTTACGTAGATAAATTTAAATCCTAGAATGCAAGCAAGCACCGAATTGGTGAGTAAAATCAAGAAAATATTCTTCACAAACCTCTTTAGCGAAGATTTAAAATATAATACGTAGTGTTTTAATAACAAACCAAAGTATGATTCCATAATTGAAGATGTAAGGCAAATAAAAGTTTCCAAGAAGAAAGAATCATCTCAAGATTATCAAATAATTCAAAGGTGTGATGTGTTGACTGTACAAGGCTGTGAAAAACTCGTTGAGCCGTTGTCAGATGCGTGAGAAAGGTTGAAAAAGTTTGTCCATGCCGGAGAATTGTTT